GAAACAATAACCCACAAGAGAAAAAAAGTTTATGTAGTTGATGACAGCCTACCAGGCAAGCACCTGCCACAGTTGAATGTAAGTAACATATAGTTGTAAACTGAGGAGATAGGACCTAGGTGTGTTAAACTAAGCATAAAATGAATATAGGAAGTTCAGTAACAGAACTACTGATAAGTTTACCTCTCCTAAAACAAACACCTCTCCAATAAGCCAGGCAGTTAACTAGAGAGACACAGTACAATTGGGAGCAGTGGGCACACTCGTGTACCATTGTCAGGTCTCCTGATGAAGCAGAATGAGTTATCATAGGATCAAGTTTTGCTACAATTAAGTAGTAAAACTTAATTGTTTTAACTTAAAAGTTTAACTTAAAAAGTTAAAAAATTTTAACAAAGTTAAAAATTCTTCTGATTATCCATCGAAGAAACCCCACATTCATCTTTGCATCATGCTAAAAATGTTCCATTCTCAGTTAACTTCAAGAGCATGAAACAAGATATCTGGCTATATTTACATCACCACATCTTGTATTACAGCAAGGGTCACCACAGCTCCAAAATAGACTTTGTTACTGCGCTTTTTCCATGGAATTATGTTTAAAGCAGGGGACAAGTAACATGGTCAGCAATACAAAAGATTCTTCATCTTTTTCAATCCTAGTAGATCTGGACTTACAGCTTGTAGCATTTTGGACTGTCCCGGCAGTGAATTGCATAGCCTTCACTCAGACGCGTGTCAGAAGCAACAATACAAAAGTCTTCTCCAGCAATCGCCAGCACAGTCCTTAAAGAAAAGTATTGATATAATCATGACTTCTTAGGCAGTAATCCTATAACCAGACTCACGTTTTGTCAAGCGCCTTAAATTCCTTGCTATGTTTCTCACTATGCACACCCCTACTCAACACTGAAGGAAGAAGACACCGGACACACTGAAAAATATGCATGGCCCTCTACCTTGATTTAAAGGAATATAAACAGAAACTTGGCAAAACCGAGACTCTACACTAGGCAAGAACCAGACCCAACGGACCAGGTGTTTTAGATGTCTGATAATGATGTATCCTTCTAAAACAACCCAAGTACTATGCAATAGTATCATTACACTTAAACATTGCTTTTGAAATCTGCTGTTATAACTTCCTAACAAATAGTTTAGTGATCATCACCATTAAGTAACAAAGAGATGCCCTTTAAAAAACAGTAGTCACCATAAGAGAAAAACCTACCTGACCAGATCACACCACCAACTCAGGCATGTAAAATATCACCTGCCTTTTATAGTTACAGCAAGGTAGCATTTTATGCAGTTACATGTTTACTAGCAACAGGACAAGGGACAATGGCCATTACCTAAAACACAAGAAGATCCACCTCAATATAAGGAAGAATTTCTTTACATTGAGGGTGGCAGAGCACCGTCACAGGCTGCCCAGGGAGCTCGTGGAGTCTCCCTGTCTAGAGACATTCAAAACCCACCTGGACGCCTTCTGTGCAACCTGCTCGAGGTGACCTTGCTTTGGCAGGGGGTTGGACTGGACAATCTCGAGGTCCCTTCCAACCCTAATAACTCTGTGATTCGGTAATATGACCATTACCTGGGTTTCCTAAGCCACTATAAAGAAACAACCGTGCGGGCAACAAAAGGTGCTTCCTTTAAGACCAGTCAAAGTTTAGGGATCCCGGGTGTTCCAAAGCCACACAGACAGGTAAGAACAACCCGAAAGGCTGCAAGGCCTCAGGGCAAGGCCGGGCCGAGCCCAGCCCCTCCGTGTGCAGCCGCTCTTTCTCTASAAAGAGGAGACCGTCAGAGGTGACAAACCCGCCCTGAGCACCGGAGGAAGGCATGAGTAAGGCGAGGCAGCCCCAGCCCCAGCGCCGCTCTCCCCTGGGCCCCCTGCCCCGCGCCGAGGGTGCCCCGTCCCGCCCGCTACCCGGCCGGGTCCCTCACCCTCCGTTGAAGGTGTATGGCGAGAAGCGATAGCGCTGCACGGACGCCTCCAGCCCGCAGCCCGCCTCGGGCGGGGAGGGCCCGTATCCGGCGGCGGACAGCATCGCAGCACCCTCACCACTGCTGTCTCACGGCGAAATGGCGGCACCGGAGGCGGAAGCGGAGCCGCTCTGGGAGGGCAGCGCTGCCTCCTCTCGGCTGCTCTGCCGGGCGGCGAGCGCCGTGCTCGGGCCGGAGGGCGGCGGGGCCGCTGTGGGCACGGTGTGTGCCGGTCCCTCGGGTAGCGCCGGCACCGGTTCTTGTCCAAGCGCTGCCAAGCCCTGTCACCTGCGTGCCCTCTTGTAGAAACACGCAGGCTGATGAGCAGCTGTGGTGAGGCCATCAAACACCCCTCGTGTTCGGGCGGGGGAGCAGCGCGGTGGCTCCTGCTCTAGCGGAGAGAGTGCTTTTGTGAAGAGTAAGGGTCGGTAATCAGAGAATAGCTTTGGTTGGAAGGAACCCTAAGGATCATCTAGTCCCAAACCCCGTCACAGGCCGGGCGGGGTTTCACCTTTCACCAGACCAAGTTGCTCAGAGCTCCATCCAGTTTAGCCTTGAACATTTTCAGGGATGGGGCATCCACAACTTCCCTGGGTAACCTATGCCAGTGCCACACCACCCTCAGGGCAAAGAACTTCCTCCTAATATCCAATCTAAATCTACTGTCTTTTGATTTGAAGCCATTCCCCCTTGTCCTGTCATGGCATGCTCTTGTGAAAAGTCTCTCTCCATCTTCCTAAGGAGGTCACCCTGAAGCCTTCTCTTGTCCAGGCTGAATAATCAAAATTATCTCAGCCTTTCATTGTGAGAGAGGTGCTTCATCCCTCTAAGCATCTTAGTGGCCCTCCGCTGGACTCACTCCAAAAGATCCAGGTCTTTCTTGTGCTGAGAGCCTAGAGCAGGACACAGTTCTCTAGATGGGATTTCACCAGGACTTTGAGGTGGACCATGGGGTGCGGTGCCAGGCACCATGGCACAAGTGGAAACAAGCAGGAAGGGCTGGGATAAAAGATCAAAGAGGTGCTAGGGGAGAAGGATGGGGGGAGGGGGGGTCAGTGTGATGAAGGGGTGTCTCGGTTTGAAAGACAGGTGCTTGCCAATGAAGGCAGGGATTCTTCTCAGAGTGGTGGATATGACCCCCCTTCCCTCCAAATTATTATAGCTTTGAAAATCACAGGCTTTCAGGCAAAAATATGGGTAAAAGGGAATAACAATTTTTACTAATATGTATAACAAGGTGAAACAAGTAACAATAACAATAGCAACAACCAGCCCAGTCACAAACCCAGTGACAGCCTCACAGAGACACACCCTCCCCTTTGTGCAGTTACAGTCTCAGTCGGTAGGGGCGCTGTTGGCTCCTGGCCGGGCAGGGCAGGTACGATGATTCCCCAGCGGCTGCAGGGGGCGCTGTGGCGCAGGTCCCGGCTAGGTTCAGATCTCCCGCGTCGACAATGGTGGACACAAAACGGCAGGGATGGATGGAGAAAAGTTCTTCTGCAAACTCACAGCAGAAACACCGATCTCGGTGCTACTCTGGACAGCAAGAAACCCCAGAATGGCAAAGAGACGAGCAGAATCCTGCGGCTGTGAGACGGAATGGAACAGGACTCAACCCCTGAAGCTGGAATCTCAGGAGTCCCCAGCAAGGCACAGGGGAGAAGATCACCGTGCAGCAAACAGGAACTAAGGAGCGGAGATGCTGAGCTCTGCAGAAAAGAGCAGACGAGCTCTCCCCTGCAGCTAGCAGGTCAACCTCCTTCTCTGAGCCAAGCAGTGCAGGAAGTGAAGTTACCCCCTACCACATACACACACACACACACACACACACACACACACACACACACACACACACACACACACACCCTCCCAGTGCTTAGCAAGATTGTTTAGGTGGGGCATAGGTGTTATTATCTTTGCTAATCGCCCACCCATCAAAAGGATGACCTGGCAATCAGTGTATCCCAGCAACAAATTGGGAAAGAAAAATTCCCCAAGAAAGGAAACAAAAGGAGAAAAACTTAACCCACAACAAGAGGACACATGTATTGTTCCGGAGAAGTGTGGCCGTGGTGGCTGCAGTCTCCATGGGCACTGTGCACACACGGCGGCGAGACCCGCAGGTGGCAGCACTGCAGCGATAATGTGAGGAACCACAGCCTCCGTGAGGGGCTGGTGCACTGCCAGGGATCCCATAGATTCACAGGCTCTGTCAGGCTGCAATGGATCAGAGGCGATCATCTGATGCAACATTTCTGCTCGAGCAGGGTCATCGTAGAGCACCTGGCACAGGGTTGTGTCCAGACAGTTCCTGAACATTTCCCATGAAGGAGACTTCATAACCTCTGGACAATCTGCCCCAGTGCTTGGTCACCTGCACAGTGAAGTTATTCCTCGTATTCAGGTGGAACTTCCTGTGCATCCATATCTGCCCATTGCCTCTTGTCCTATTGCTTGACAACACCAAGAGCCTGGGTCTATCTTCTTCACACCCACCCCTTAGATATTTATGCACATTTATGAGGTCCCCTCAGTTGTTTCTTCTCGAAGCTGAACAGACCCAGCTCCCTCAGCCATTCCTCCTCAGGGGAATGCTCCAGACCCTTAATTATCTCTGTAGCCCTCTGCTGGATCTGCTCCAGGAGCTCCATGTCTCTCTTGTAATGAGGAGCTGGAACAGCACTCCAGATGTGACCTCACCAGGGCTGAGTAGAGTGACAGAACTGACTTGCTGGCAATGCTCTTCCTAATGCATTCCAGGATACCATTTGCCTTCTTGGCCACAAGGGCACTGCTGGTCATGGACAGCCTGTTGTCCACCAGGACCCCCAGATCCTTCTCCGCAGAGCTTCTTCCCCAGCTCGGCCTCCAGCCCGTCCTTGTGCAGGGGGTTACTCCTCTCCAGGTGCAGGACCCTGCACTTGCGCTTGTTTAATTTCTGAAGGCTTTTCCCCGCGAAGGCTGTTGTCCCGGTGGCGGCGGGAAGTGACGCGCCGGGAGCGCCGGTGGCGCGTGGGCGGGGCGCGGCCGGGCTCCGGCAGGCGCTGAGCGCGGCGAGAGCGGAGCGAGCGGCAGGTACCGAGCGCTCGCCGCTCCCCCGCGGCCACTGCTCGCCCCGCTGCCCGCGGACGGGCCGGCGCTGCCGGTGGGGCCGCGATGGTGCGGGGCAGGCCGTGCCTGGAGGGCGGGGACGGTGCGCGGGGCCGGGCTCGCTCCTCACCTCCGGGGCGGCCTGAGCCGCGGCGAGGGAAGCGGGGAGGAACTCTCGCGGCGGGGAGGAGGCGGCCGCSTTTCTCTCCCCGCTGCGGCTCGGGGGCGAGCGGCCGTGGCGGCGGGATGGGCGCGAGCAGCGGCGGGACCCTGCGATGACGGGCGGGAGCGGGGCCGGGGCTGCGTGGGGCCGGGACCGATGTTGGATGGGAGCGAGGGGGCGCGGAGAAGTGATGGCCGGACGTCGAGCGCTGCTGTGTGGCTGGGAAGGGAGCCCGAAAGGAATCTCGAGGGTTGGTCGGGGCCTCCTCCGGGCTGTCTCCTGCTTCTGGACTCTGTTCCCTCGATCAAAATGTTGCCCGGCGTTTGTAGTGGAGATCTGAGCAAGCCGCGTTAAATGGTTATAGGAGGGACCTCTGCGTAGACGATGCCCTGGCTGCAGGTTTTGGCATGCCTGGTATCCAGCCTCCTTGCTAAACAGCTCGGCTGTCGAGGAGTTGGATTTATTTCTTCCAGGATAATTTAGGCTTCTAATGTACCCCCGTCTCCAGGCTGTAAAAGCTGTGTGCTCTGCTTGATACCTTTGGTGAGAGTAAAGTATGTTATGGTCATGGGGGTAAAAAAGCAGGCCTCTTTAGCTGCAGTGTAAATATTAATRTAATTCTAAGCTCTTATATATTTAAAAAAAACCAGAGGCTGAATTAACTGTCTTCAGATTTTGAGGCGGCCTACCTCTGGCCAGATAATGACCTGGAATATTTCTGGGCAATAGTTAAGAAATTTACATATTAATGGGAAAATATTTCATATCATTGATATAACATTTAAATTCTCCACTCGTTTATTTCATGACACAGCAACAGAGGTATAGTTAAAAAATAAATTCATTATACATTTCACTTGTATACTTGAAATTGGTTTTCACATACTTTTTTTTTCTCTTGAATTGCATGTCATTGCTGTTTGAAATCTGTTAGTGATTTCTTTTATGCAATTGGATGAAAGAGGTTTTCCTAGCTCTGATTTGACCAGCAATGCTTTCTCATAGAAGAAAAAAAAATTTAAAAGCCCAAGCCTTAAAAGGGCCAGGAAGAGACTTACAAGCAATGTCAATTAGTAGTCAGGGGAATTCTAAAATCATCAGTACTTTCCAGCAAAGCTTGGAGTAGAATGTGCACTAGCAGTTTGTGCAGGAGGGTTTGGTTAGACAGAGGCCTGCCCGTGTGAGTCAGGTAATCTTGCAGGAACTTCAGCAGAATCACACAGCAAAGTTTCTATGGAATGTGCCTGAAAAATGTTATTTTTATGGATTGTGCATGTGGGTATGCGTACGCGTGAATGTTCTTATATGTATTTGTACGTGGGTGTCTCTTATCTGAGTCAGCAGTTGATAGGTTTACTTTTGGGTTGTGTTTAGACATTATTCTCAAGGTATTACTTCTTTTCTTTCCAGGCTTTGGTTAGTGTTTTAGGCTCATATTTCTTTGGAGCTGATGTTTTCCTAACACTTCCAGCTTGGCTTTAAAAGCCACTTTGCTGGAATGTTTTAAACGGTTAAGAACCCTCTAGGATTTGAAGTTTATTTAAATTGGTTGAAGAAATAACTTCTGGCCTCACCAAAGAAATAACTGGAATCATGGATCAGAACAACAGTTTGCCACCCTATGCTCAAGGCTTAGCATCCCCTCAGGTAAGAACAAATTATTGAAGATGCAACTATGATCTGAATTTCTTTGTGAAAGTATTTTCTGTTTCTTACATGTAGCTTCACAGTTTTTTGTTTGCAGGCGTGAAAACTTCTGTTAGCTATCGAATAATACTAGTATAAAGCAGAATTTTAAAACCATTGATGTCTACATCCAGAAGTGTAAGAAACATGCGGTTTCTTGTACATGGGGTGTAAGAATGTACATGGGATTTCTTAATGGGGTTCCTCTAAGTTGAAACATGACCGACAAGTTGGAAAGATTAATTTAATTTTGGTGGTTGCTCCTTCAGCTGTGTACATAATGTATTATTGCTGGGCTGTGAATACATTTGGTACACTGAGCACAGTTGGTGTTGAAACAATTTCAAGTTAAATTGTGCGTCGAAGTTGAGAAAAGCTTGCAAGGTAGTGTGAGAAGCATGTCATGTCCCTAGATCCCTGTGGATAGTATTTTATTCTATAGACAGCTGCATTTCCAAGGATTTCCTATTTTTAACAATTTACTGCTATATGCTTCAGATTTGATATGAGCACATCAACAAACATAGATTTACTTTTAGACTATTCCTGAAAACTTTGTCTCTTAAAACAAAATGGAGTGAACATGAGCTATGGTTTCTGTGTCACGTTTTCTTCTGTAGGGTGCAATGACTCCAGGAATCCCAATCTTTAGCCCGATGATGCCATATGGCACAGGACTGACACCGCAGCCTGTCCAGAGCACCAACAGTCTGTCCATACTGGAGGAGCAGCAGCGGCAGCAGCAGCAGCAGCAGCAGCAAGCAGCACAGCAATCCACATCACAGCAAGCGACACAGGGAACATCTGGTCAAACCCCCCAGCTCTTCCATTCACAGACTCTTACCACAGCCCCTTTACCAGGAACCACACCTCTGTACCCCTCTCCAATGACTCCCATGACTCCAATAACTCCTGCGACACCGGCATCAGAGAGCTCTGGCATAGTGCCACAACTACAGTGAGTGCCCCATGTGTTAGTGCATCATGTCCTTTCTCAGACAGCCCTTTAAAGATTTAGGACTAAAGTCACATGAGGAAATAGGTACTGCATTTTGGTGGGAAAGGAGGTCCTGAGAATTTATGGGTCTCTTGTAGCAATGTGAGTAATTTTTGCTTTTATTTTTAGCTGAGCTTCATTACTAAACCACTTAGTAATATAAACAGTGTCTTAGTGATTTGTCAACAGTACATCTTTGGAGCATACCAATGGAGGATTATATATGTCTTCAATTAACACCATTGTAGCTTTCAACTCCTTGCACTTTAGGAGTTCATGATGTTCCCTTTTCTAGTGCATGGCTAACACTGAGTTTGTGAGATGGGAAAAAACCCTCGAACTAGTTCTGAGTTTAGGTATAGGTTTAGGTATTTTCAGTGAAATTCAGTTTTAAAAAGACTTTTTCAAAAATTTACAGAAGAAACAAAGAGAAATGGTTGATAACATAATTGAAAAAGTAGTTTCTCTTTTTTTTTCCCCCTCATTGAGGACCTTTAAATTTCAGAGTTTTTGCAGGGAAAAAAATATCTAGGAACTTCTTTTAAACTTTCTGGAGACCTGCTATCCCATCTCCTGGCAATGGATTTACCTCCTGGGTCATTCCCACTTAATTCTGCACCTTCCTCCTTGAAGGGTGTAGCAAGGAAAATTTCAGATATACTACCTTATTTTCTCCTGTTTCCAGCACCTTCCTTGATTGTGGTGAGGGCTCTCAGCATCAAAAATTTTACCTTCCAAACTGAAACAGAGATTTTTCTCATGGGACACTTTTCATAATAGCTGGCAGATACAGAGGAATCAGCAGTCATAGGCCTTAGGAGCTACTGCCCTACAAAAAGAGGTTCCTGAGATGAAGCACTGCTCAGTGCTCCTGTAAAGATACCATTCAAACTCGCTCGTAGAAACAAAATAATAAAAAAATAAAATTGATTAAGCTTGGTTAAAAATGAGGAAGATACATGAATTCGTTACTGTCTTTTTTAATATATTTCTTCAATCTGTCTTTAGGAATATTGTGTCCACAGTGAATCTTGGTTGCAAACTTGACCTAAAAACCATTGCACTTCGTGCCCGAAATGCTGAATATAATCCCAAGGTAAGAGACATGTATTAATGTTTATCCTATAATGGATATGTCAGAGGCACAGACTGTGGCTGCACGCTGCTGCAACAGACTGAAAAACCTACCTGCTATATATATGCAGTTTTATACTATAGTTAAAAGGGAAATCTTAATAGACTTAGAGCATTCTAATTGCTAAAAAGCATTTTTATGCTGAGGTAGCTGTGATGTGCACCAGGTTGTAAGTTGTTAGATTTAGGAAAAACCTAACCAACAGTGTAATATACTAGCCAAGCTTTTTGTGGTAGAGCTGTCCTCTGCTGCTGTTCATATGGGAATGTTTGTTTGTTGTGCTCAGACAGCTTTTTTTGCATATTACTGTGAAATGTCTTATGATGAAATCTTGTTCCCTGTCTCCCAATAATGAGAAAGGAAAGAAGAATTCAAGTCCTGGCTCCTGCAAGAGCTATGGTTTCCTCCACCTAGCTGCTCTTCTGGAATTCTTATGGTCTCAGGGCATTCGCTTACTTTTTACAGTCTCGCTTCCCCTCTGTTCCCACGTGTTCTCCCCCAGTACTTCTGCCATCTCATTGCTTCTGATGGCTCAGTTTGGCGGAACAGCAAAATTTTTTTTTTTTTTTTTTTTAGCTTACATATTAGTTTTACTTCAGAGTTGTCTGCTGCTTCTAAATAGTAGTGGGGTTCTAAATAAGTGGGGTTTTTTTTTAGTTTTAGGGAAATTTGAACACCACCGAAGGACGTGGACCATTAGATCAAGAATTATGTTGCTTCATGTTTCTTTTGGTGAACCCTCTTGAAAATGTTATCTTTGCAACCACAGTAGCTGGACAGTAATAAAAGTTTAGATGTTGTGTAGTTGAATTGTTTGTCTTGGGAAGGGTTCTGTTTTCCTGGAGTGTATGTGTTTTCTTTGTTTTAGCATTTTGGGATTTAGCAAAAAGGGATTTGCTGCAATTGACCTGAACTCTGCTCTCAAAGGTTAAAGCATACATGCAGGCATATATGATAAATAACTGTTACTGTGAGTTTATAGCAGTGATTGTGTTACATAATTGTGAGTAAGATATTAGTACAGCAAACATTTGAGCATGCCTTGGTAACTCCTAAGGTAGGGGTGTAGGTGGCTGTGAATAATCTTGTAGGCTAGAATAATCAATATGAAACACTTTTCCATGGTAGAGGGAAAGAAGGGTTATGTAACACACTCCTGACATTTACTCAGTACATTCTTCTATCAAAGAAAGATGTTGCTTGGCTGTATTATTTAAGACATATTTTGACAAATGTGCTGTTGGGTAACCCACGCTACCGCCTTGGTTATGTCAGCAGAACAATTCATGGGACTGCTTGGTGAGTTGTTCCAAGTTAAATATAACAAACAGGGGTTTGTATGTGTGTGTATGCCCACATCAGTTTCCAGTATCTCTTGCTTCAAGGAATGTAAGAGTATTTGTAAATGCTTACTTAGAATAAAAAGCTAGAGCTAATCGAGCTGCTGCATCCTACTGTGGTTGCTGAGGTGACTTCTGTTTACACGGGACTTTGATTTCCAGCTGTTCTGTTTGCTGGTATTATAACACTGTCCAATTAAAGAAAACAAAATCATAAAAATAGATCATAAAATGTTTGTAGATAGTCTTCCATCCTGCTTACAAGTGAGAAAATTTCAACACATATGGAGGAATTTTTGTCAATTTTTAAAATAGTTTCTATTGCTCTGTTGCAAACGCTAGCATTATTTATGTTGCATATATACTAATGAGAGATGAATAGAAATGCAACAGTAAATATCCTTCCTACTTGGTTGTACTTCTCAGTGTGTGTGTTTGAAGGTACTTAATGGTTTAAGCATTTCAAGTAAAGTTTGAGTGATCTGTAAGTATGTTGGACCTTAGTTTTTCTTTGTGTGACACTGTAATTTGCTACTTAGATGATGCAGATTTGGTTTTAATGTAAGGATGACAGCAATATATCACTAACAGTCTCAATGCTCGCACTTCAGCGTTTTGCTGCTGTTATTATGAGAATAAGAGAACCACGTACTACTGCACTAATATTCAGCTCTGGAAAAATGGTGTGTACAGGAGCAAAAAGGTATGTTTAGGCATTACAAGCAAACTTATTCAGGCTATCTTTTCTTATGTATCATGATGCTTGTTTATATATACACATGTAAGTTGTACAGGTACAACAGGTAATCTTGCTTCACAGTTACTCCTAATTATACGCATTTCTACACAAAATGCCTGTTTATGATTGAAGGGACTTCCAAACTTATGGGGAAATTGTAGTTTTGTTTCTGATGCGCTTTCATTCAGTGTGACAAACTGGTTTACAGAATATATTCAAGTTTTTGTCTTTGCAGTTACCTGCTTTTTCTAATTTTTAAAAAATCTGTAACTGTTCATTGGAACTGCTTAAAGTTTAAAGTGTAAAGATGGTGACAGAAGGATTTTATATTTGAATAGCTTCATTCATCACAGGACGAGAGCTCCAAGTCTCTGATCTGTTCTTAACATGACCACTGAAGCACAAGAATTGAAAACTAAATACATGCTTAATTCTGGTGGGCAGGAGAAAAATTCTGCTCTGAAGAAGTCTGCTAGGAATCCAAAAGGACTAAACTAATGAGCAGAAATGAATGAATAGATCTGTATAGGGAAACACTTTCTCTGCCTGGTGACACTTGAAATTCAAGTTGTCTTACTCTGCATCAAAAGCAAACAGATCCTCAGCTGTTTACAAACCTGAAGCAAACTGAGTTCTGCAACAGTGTGTAAGTCTGTGCAGTTGTGTTAAACCCATGTTTGTATGCCTGGGTGGAATCAAACAGAAGAATTTGACAGCTGACAAATTTTTATAGAAAAATAGAAATCCTCTGCCAGTAGTAGTTCAAGGTTGTTCTACAATGAAAACTTAAGTAACAGTTTTCATGTCCCTTTAGAGGGACTCCAGTCAGTATTTTAAAAATGTAAAATGTACAGATTTATAATTTACTGTTGTGTCTCATGAACAATGAATGTAACACTAATGTGTCTGGGAGCTTATTACCTAAATTAATATGAAAAGCAGTGTTAGTTTTTAATTTTGGATGTAAAAATTTTGCCTGTGAACTCGCCTCTCCCTCAACACAGACTTTTTTTCCCAATTAGTGATCTGTGGTTTAATGCTGCTTGCTTGAAGTAATACTTAACTGAGGCAGTAATATGGACATCCTTTTCTTACATCAGTGAGGAGCAATCCAGACTGGCAGCAAGGAAGTATGCAAGAGTTGTTCAGAAACTGGGTTTTCCTGCAAAATTTTTGGATTTTAAAATTCAGAACATGGTGGGCAGCTGTGATGTGAAATTTCCCATCAGACTGGAAGGATTGGTACTCACACACCAGCAGTTCAGCAGGTAAGAAACGGCTTGCTTATGTTTCATTCTTGTTGCATACTATCTTGGAGAGTGACATCTGTTCAGATTATTCTCTTGCACCACAGGGAAACCTGCATCTTTGTTCCCATGTCTGTGCTGCCTCAGGTGTAACTGAGGCTGCCCTATGTGAACCCATCAAAATGATCTTCCCTTCTACTCCAAATTTCAGGGAAGTTATATCTGCTCTGCCCAGTCCTGCAGAACATAGAGTGGAGTATGTGTCTGCAAGCATGTTTAAACACTCTCTTCTCTTACAGCTACGAGCCGGAATTGTTTCCTGGCTTAATCTACAGAATGATTAAGCCAAGAATTGTTCTGCTCATTTTTGTTTCTGGAAAAGTGGTTTTAACTGGTAAGTGAAGACAGTTATCTTCCTCCCAAGAGGTAAGCTTTAGACTGTATTACAGAGAACACACAGGGATATGTAACCTTTAGAGATGACTGAGAAAGGAGAGTTAATAGAGTATTCCATGGATGGTGATATTAAGGAAACTTCTCAGTCCAGCCAACCAGCAGCTGCTCTGGCATTCAGAGCCGCACCAGCTGCAGTAGGACCAAAGCCTGTTTGCAGTGGGCAACTCCAGCAAGCCAACAGGTTGCCCTGCTTGACTCCCTACAGCCCACAGTCACCACTTCTTAAGGGCACCTGGCTTTGTTATACAGTGATTCAGGAGTACAGCCCTCTTGCCTGGGGGTTCTGCACCCACCCCTATATTCTTTAACAGATAAGAATGCACATTTTAACAGCACATGTGCTAGATCATAGGAGCAATGATCATGAACCCTAGTCAGGTACGCAGGTGCCCAAAAAGCAGTAAGAATGCAGGTGATCTTTCTGGCAAAAGCTGAAATAAGTTTCTGTGGGCTGAGTATGTGTGATTGAGCTAGCTGTTTTTTAGCAGCTTGGCACCAGGCTGCTGCCCATTCTTGATAGAGGAGCCAAAGAAGGTGAGATACTTGAGCTCTAGGACCTCTTCAACCTCGGGTGGTCCACCTACTCCCTTCCATTTCCTTTCAGGCTGTGTCTTATTATGGAGAAGAAGCCCCACAAGACCTGCAGACAAAACAAGGATCATGTCCCTGCAGTATGAGGAAATGCAGTCTTCTGCAGTGGTCTGCATTGTCAGACCTTCCTCCCCCTGATATTCATGCTCTCAAAAAATGCTCCACCAGTTAGGCCTTTCTGCACAAAGCCTACAAAGCTGTGCTTGTTGAGTCTTCTGTGGAAATTATATGTAGAAAAATTCCATTTGCAACATAGCATCCTCACAGAGATGCTTATGAAGGCTTTAGCAGTTACCAAATTAAACAGAGAAGGCTGATGATGTAATCTGTATGAAATGTGTTTTAAAAGACTGTAAAAACAGATTATGGACACGTACAGGTTTTATATAGAGTTGTGTTCAAGTATACATATTCTGAAAGCTAAAATAAAGTGTTTGGTGAAAGATACAAACTGACTTAATTACTTCTCCTTTTCCAGGTGCTAAAGTACGAGCAGAAATCTATGAAGCATTTGAAAACATCTATCCTATTTTAAAGGGATTCAGAAAGACAACGTAACAGTTTCTACACGATTCAGAAAAATCAGGTGTATATTTTAAAAGATATTGTGTATGGCACAGCAGTAACAAGAAATGGACTTCCAGTGCAACTGCAACACCAGGACTTGGACTATTTCCCAGTTAGTGCCTACTTCCCTCGTGCTCAAGGGGAACTGTATTCTTGAATATGTCTACTGAGTTACTGTGAGTTGCTTTACTGGACTGTTCTGGAGCAGTCCCTCCCACTTTTATTTATATTCTAGCTTTTAAATAGTTTTAATGCCAGTTCTATTAATAGAAAATCTGTAAGTTGTTTGAAGACTAATGCAACTGTGTCACTCAGTGTATAAATCACTTAAATTGCCATGTATACATGTTTTAAGTTCCTTCCATAAAACAATGGTTTTTATAATTTCCAGAACTTTACCTTTTACATTTTTTCAATTTTAAATTTCTTTGGTGCCAGACACATTCCCTCTTTACAGTATTAAGCAAGATAAAATAAATTTATTAATTAAAATGGCTCACTGTACATATATATAATATATACCTTTCTTCTCTTTCCTTCTTCAACTCCACATGTACAATAAATCCTGTTTATACAACTATGAAAACTGTCTTAATAAATTTTAAAATTACCCAGCTGGTAGAATTAAATATATTGAATTTTTTTTTATTTAATCAGTTTTTTAATAGCAGATGCACTACTCTAAGTGACTCGTCACTTTGGTAGAATCTTAACAATGCTCTGGTTTGCTTACCAGGAGTCACATCCTTGGCATTGTCTACCTTGAATATTTCCAATGTTAAAGCAAAAGAGATGACTGGTTAAAGAACCTTGTGTTTGAGTATGTGTTGCCTCATGTTCAACAGATGGGATTTAGGCAAGTCTTAAATAGCTGCACTTGATTGAATTGAAACAAAAAATCCCTGCTTAGCTTCTAGAATTTCTTTAAATTACTACTTCTGTATTTTACCAGCTGTGACAGCCTCACTATATTAGTGTTCCTGTAAAATGTCAAAGCCTATCCGACTGGAGTCAGTATGTACATAATCTTCCTTCTGAACCATGCTTGAAGCTTACTGAGCTGAGAACTAAAAATAAACTTTTTTTTCTTCAGTAAATTTCCGGTAATAACAACCTCTCAATGACTTACACATTATTTCAAACAGCTTTTATCTGAAACTAACCGAAATGTAAACAATGGTCTCACTACTAAGTTGGTGTTTCATTCCAGACAAAATGAAGTTTTGGCTGGCTTTGATACTGCTCCATTTCCAAATCCTGAGTGACCTTAATATTCAGTCTTCTCTCCACGCCATTGTTACTCCAGGCATTTTAATAGCCAGTTTCATGAATCTTACCAGAAGGATGCTCTTTACTAACATAGCTGCACATGATAAGTTCAAGATACTCGAACACTGCATTGCTTTCAATATTGCACCACTGTGTTACGAGCTCATGACTATAACTGTTCCTGAGAGCTCTTGACTATAACTGTATGATTGTCCATGCTTTTGCAGGACCTGAACTATTACCAGATTATGTGCAAAACTTCAACTCTTCAGAAAGCTTGGAGCCCTAAGAAACAGTGGGATGGTTTCAAATAAAATGAGTTGAGCTGTACTACAGTGACTTAATACACACTTTGCTGTTTCACGACACATACCAGGGCTTAAAACTACCCTGCTAGAAATTAAGCTCAGTGATAACAAAACCACTTACAGGTACAGCATTCTCTGCCTGCTCACTTGAGTATTTTCAACATCCAAATGATTTTAAAAACCCCACAGTGAGCCTAGGACTTCTGTAAAATCACTTTCAGAGTCACAGGTAAGCAGCCATGAATGGCTGGAGCAGAATGAGGGAATATCTCAATTCTGTACTGAAACGCATAAAAAAGCCTTTTCTGCAAATACAGTTAATAGCCATAGGAGTAATTAAGCAACTACCACAGTAAACTCAGCATCATGGTTTGACTTTTCTTGTGCCTGAGCTATATGGCAGTCATATAGCAGAAGAATCCCTGCAGAGGACACTTATTTATAAACTCCACCAATAATGGCAGACTTAAGGTACAATTCAGCTTGAAAATCTGCTGCTACAGGCACTGTGTAACAAAACAAATGTGTTCTGGTAGGGCTGACTTTGTTTAAACTGTTTATGATGGTAGGGCTGACTTTGTTTAAACTGTTTCTGCACCAAGTAACTGAGTTAAACTGTTTCTGCATGGAGCTAATACTTTTAAGTCAGATAAAACACATAATTTTTGTGCATTTTATCTCAAATACCCACTCAATCAGAATATGTAAAAAACTCACAAGTTAGGTTCGGTGTACGTGTTGAGAAAGGGAACCAGATTTAAGTTCCACAACAGAAAGCTGTGGAGCTTTGTCTTAGCTGACTCCGGTACAGCTCTGAACATAAGCACCTGAGTTTACAGTAGTTTGCTCTTTTCTAAATGAGTGTTAATTTTTGAGTAGCTTAACGAAGATCCTGACAGACTACAACCTTCAGATTTTTGAAGTTCCATGACCAACAAAAGATAAAGATGGATTAGTGAAATTATGTAAACTTTCAGAAATGAGATTTGAAATGACACTCTCTAAACAAATACATCTGGCTTCATTCCCAGGTTGAAGTAAAAGCTCCTCTGGAGTACAAGAGAGGCTGTCAAGGTCTAGTTACAGCAATTTTATTATTACAAGATCCAGAGTTATCAGTTTAGTTCAACTACCTGTTTACATAGTGCAGAGATGTAGTGAAACAAGTCAAGTATTCCATTTGGATGATTCAACTTCATGAAGTACAGCCCGTGGAATGGTCCTGTTTCCATATGAACTCTTCCAGGTATTCATTTCCCCCACCGCAGCTGTCAGCACAAGTGTATACCACCAGCGTTCCCCAGTCAATGCTCTCTTCAAGGCTGTCAACCTGAAGGTGGTTCAGGAGCTGTGGCATAATCTTCAAGGAAAACCAAAAAGGTTTAGAGGCAGGCCACAGTCTCGTCCTCTTTACCCTCTTCTCTTCCTGAAGAACAGTGCTGCATTTGGTGCAGAGAATGTATGTTCTCTTACACCAAAATCCCAACTGAAGCTACTATGTATACAGCAGCTCAAATAAAATTGGAAACTGGAATTCTATGCAAGTTTTATTTGACTTTACAAGCCTTGCCTGATCTGTGGGTCTCCCGCCATTTCAAATTCCCTTAATAACTATTTTGTCTTTGCACGACATTGAGTGTGTTTACCATACACCTCTAGCATTCAAAATTCCACAGGTGACTACTTCCAGCCAACTTGTTTACAATTTGCATAATTAAGTTTTCTCTTTTTTTTTCTTTTTAAATATACAATACCAGACTCGTGTTATTTAACAGTTGGTTCCACATTTTCAAGTGCACCATTTAATGGATATTGCAAATTATCTGATGGAAACTTACTTCAATATGTGAAATTTTTGTGTGAAAAAGCACTTACAAGACTTAATAAAGGTTCTTTACTATCATTTAGCATACTTAGTTTGTAGGAACTTCAACCTTCTTACTCAAATTACAAGTCAACACCTGTACAATTAGATCCTGAGCCTGAAACACATTACCTGTATTATTTTTTAATTAGTTAACATACCTGGAATTCAAATATCCTTTTGGCACCACATACACAATTTGGGATATCTTTTTCTTCAGGCCGATTTTTACCTGACACCCAGAGTGGACCTCCTCCTCCTCTGCAGTATCTAATAATCTGAAATACAGAAGTTTAAGTTCTCATTACTATCTTTTCATCTTGACAAAAAAATGGTATTTAGTGACATAGACAAAGCTGTAGATGGAGAAGAAAAAGGTCATTTGGTGTAATAACCATGGCAAAATATCATTTGCAAATGTAGTATTCTAAATAAAACAGGTTGCTTATGAGTTTTCTCACTCGACTATGTGAATCTTTCAAGTATTCACATCATGGTTTTTCAGTGATCCAGGGATAAATTGCAGTGATTTTTATAGAAATGCGAGGTTGTATATTTACATACTGTTTTGAGACAGTAAGACCACCTGAATAATTAGCACACAGACCTGCACACAGTCAGAAATGCAGTCCAGATTCTTCTGTTTGCAGTTCTGCATCTAAGACTATCCTAATGTTCAAGAAGGTGTTTTCAGACATATCCTTTGTTTTCCTGTTACTAGCAAATCAGGCATTATCTGCAAGAGGATGCTTGGACAGATCAGTCAGTACAGAGACGATCAGAAAGAATGAGGCACATACCTAAAACAGAGAAGGGAACAGACTCAAGAGTCTCCTACTTTCTGGGTATGTACCTTAACCCCTCAGCTACCAGGTAAAACATGGAAGGAATTTGTTCTTCACCACTTTCATGGATTTAAGCCTGTGTCTCCCCTGAATGAAACCAGGGGCCACGGTTTTGTTTGACAATGTAGCTTTTTTGCCTTTTGTAGTAACAAGAAATGTGATGGGGGAGATTTCTGTTTTAAACAGTAGACATTTTAAAGCCATCACTAATGTCTTCAATCTTTAAAAAATACCAATCCAGCCCCCAATACAGCTGGTGACAATGACAGAGCTCTTCTCTGCAGTTTTCATGCTGCTGAGGACAGCCAGCAGGGCCACAGGCTGGGGAATGGTGCAGTGGTTCCCTGTGTCCTTTGCATAGAACCACGTCACAGGATGGTGGGACCTTTCACACTGTGGGGGCTTCAGCAGCCTCATGCCATCTCATCTTGACCAACCGCTGTTTAAGATGGATGAGCAGGTGCTAAACTCTTACTTTGGCACGAACTAAGTTCAGCACATAGGGAAGATGAGGGTTTGTTAGTTAGGTGTGTGGAGGATGAGGAGATATCCCCATTTCCAACTAGGTGCAAAAGGCAGTGAAAAATGTTGCAAGTGCAGCAGGATGCTGTGCCAGAACCACTAAGGCCACCCCATCTTCTGACCTGCTCTGGTTCAGCAGCTATTTGTTTTTTAAATGTTCGGAAGATTTTATTTTCTTCATTCTCATGTTTTGCCATTGCTTCCAATGTCTCTTCATCTAAGGATTGAAATGCTTCATCTAAGCAAGAAAAAAAGAAAAAAGTTACAGGCAGTAACAAGTAACAAATACAAGACAGTAAAAAATTAAAAACAATGTTAGAACCTGTAAATTCATTTTGCTTCATAAATCATTCCTGGAGTAAATCTCACTAAGAATTTTTTTTCTTTTCATGGCATGTTAAGATTCAGTCACACACAGGTCCACTTAATAGTTTTAGTTGCATTTTAAACATAGAGGTCAGTACTGGAATAATGGAAAGGGAAGGAGTTAATTCACCAAAGTTTATGGCTTCTAGCAGGTATCACTGAGACTACAGAACCTTCAAGGTAAGACATCTGAAAAAGGCCATGCATGCTGTGCATGTGCCAGACTTCAATTTTTAGCACTGAAGAGTGTCTGTTACTCTTCAATGTCCATGTCAACTGGAGGCACTAAACACTCTTGAGACAGCTTTGGACCACAGCAAAGGACAGCCAGAAACCCAGCATCATCACAAACTCTCCACCGTAGGTATGTTCAAATCCAGTGTGTTCACTGCAAACGCATCATGAATTTAGGGGGAGCACGGAGAAGGAGCCTGCACTTCAACTGATTAATTCAAAGTCAAAACAGTTTTCTTCTAGCACAGACAAGGAAATTTTCCATAAATTAACACAAATTAAACTAAGTCAAGCCAAGGCAATCTAATAATCTCCTGATTGCAGGCATCTAGCAGCAGATGCTCAGGGTCCTGGCTTTCTCACTTGAGTTGTTCCTTACCTGCTGGAAGCACACAGGGGCACAATGTAACTCTGCTATCTGCAGCAACAGCTGCTTCAACAGCTCCTAGGGTCTAAGGCTTCATCATAAAAGCAACTTATATTGCAGGATGTCTACAACGAACTTCCATCACAAATGGCTGCAGATTTAGCCTTTTTCACCAGTAGTTTACAATGAACACTTAAAAGTCACAGTATTTTATATCCTGAAGATGTGATGCCAGGCATCACTGGGAAGAATTACAGGCGGCATTTTATTTCTGACCTGCAAAGCCTGCAGCTCCAAGTTCATCTTGTTCTTTTGCATCCTTTGATGTATCTACAGCTCCTTGTTCATCATTAGTGCTGTCTGATTCCTCAGGTTCTATCAAAATTTCATATTCTGGAAAAAGGAAATCGTTACGCTCTGGAATTGCATCCGTCGAGTCATCTACAAAACAGAAGACAGATATCACTTCATAATGTCATCTGTATTTCACGTCCTTTTCCACAAAAGCTGCACAGCAAACTACACAGCAAACATTGCATGAGCAAGAAAGATTTACTGCTAAACCCGACCCGAAGGGAAGAAAAACTGTTACATTACGGCCAGTGGAAAACTTCAACAGGCGTCACGCTCTTTGAACCTCTGTAAATTCAAGGGATGTGGAAGGCAGACCAAACAGTGATAGCAGCAGGATTTAAGAACTCGAAACCTGCAGCTTATTAATTAACCTATTAACCACAGACTGGCACGTGTTTCGGGTTCCCCCCGTTTCAGAGGTCACTGATGGCCGCAGACTCACCTCCGGCGGCGTGTTGCCCGCAGGAACGGCGGTGCCCGCGCCGCCAGTCTAGCGCCTGGTGCTCGGGCCCGCAGTAGGCGGCGCGGCGGCAGCGGCCGCAGCAGCGCGGCCCAAGGCAGCCGCAGATGCGGCACAACGCGGCGCCGCTGCCCAGCCGCCGCGGGGGCGCGGGGGCCGGGCCCGGAGGCGGCTCCTCGGGGGGCGGCTCCTCGGGGTACGTGTCGTTCCGCCGCGGCAGCTGGTTCCGGAACACTGCGGGCGAGACGCGGCGGTCAGCGGGGCGGCGGCCGGCGGCCCTCGTCCCATCCCTCCCTCCGTCCCTGCGCCTCACCGCGGAAGGGTCCGCACGGGCCCGCCAGGCGGTAGCAGGCGGGGCTGCGGCAGGCGAACACGAAAAGGGTGCGGTGGAAGGCGTCGGGGCGGCCGGCCAGCGGCGCGTACAGCTGCAGCAGGAAGGCGCAGGGCTGCTGGCAGCGGCCGCAGCGCAGGGCGGCGGGGCCCGGCAGCCCGGCCTCGCCTAGCCACGCTGGCCGACCCCCGACCTTGCTGGGGAAGGAGGCGCTGCGCAGCCGCCAGGCACCACCCGGACCCTCCGCCGCCGCCGCGAAACCCAGCTCCGCGCCGGGAGCCATGTTGCTCCCCGTGGGCCGCCGCGCACCGAGAGGGGCGGGCGCTGCCCCGGCTCCGCCCGGCTGGCTGCATTCCCTGGCCCGGCCCCGTCCGGCCGGCCCCGCCGGCAGCGTTCGGGAGCTCAGCCCCGCCCCGGCCCCGGCGTCGCTTTTCTAACGCGGCAGCAGGGGCAAACACTGGGAAAAATACAAGCCCTGGAAGACGAGGGCAGAGCTCTGCCGCCTGAACAGACACCGCAGTCAGCGGTGAGAGGGGGGAAGAGATAACAAACACGTTAACGACGCTGCTTTAATTCAATGTTTAAATATAACATTCATTAAGTAATTAAAATAATGCCAAGCTGCCTTAAAAAAAAAACAAAAACCCAAAATCAACCACAACAAAAAATACCAAAGCACAAACCCCAATACATTTATCAGTCCTAAGTATTGCCCAAGGTTTGATTTGTGCTCTTCATTCAATGCCTTGCATTTAGCCAGCCAGCAACGGT